TTAAAAATGATATTATAAACAAGAATATATATATATATTTCGAAACTTATTCAACAACATAAATGGTAAACTCTTCATGCCATTATTCACGTTTTTTATTTAATTAAGTTTCTGTCAGCTTCTATTAATTAAATATCATTTAACATTAGTCAATCTCTTCCTATCAAGGCTTTAATCAAGAAGTTATAAATGTATTTATTAACTCTTAAAATAAAATAATGATAAAAACAATGCAGAGGAGCTACATGCTGAATATTAGAATACCCTAATAAAAAGTAATTTGCTTTTATGTATAAATATTTATTAGAACTGTTTTTGATGTGTACACTCTAAAAAATTTGTTGATATCATTTAAGTAATGTGATTGTTGTTGTTTCAGCAATTTTTGCCATATCTGCACATGCATGGTGAATAGAATTTATGAAATGCGGCAGTGAAATGGTAGCAAATAATTTGAGAAAGATGTGGCACTATAAGTTATTTTCTTGTTGTTTGCCTAAATATTAAAGAAAAAATTCGAAAGTTCTATAGAATTTATTATTTTTTCATGTTGGCACAATAACTTAAAACACCCTTCGTGCGCAAAACAAAAACAAAAGTTCGAAATCTGCACTATATTTTTTTCAAGAAGCGTAACTCCTTATTTTGTTTTAAAAAGAGAAAAATAGATATTTAAATAATAATAATAATAATAGTTGTTGTGAACCATATGAACAAGGTGGTCTACGTAGGAGGAGCATAGCTGTTATTCATGAAGATACCACCTGGTCTTTCTCGACGATAATCATATGTAACGGATTCGACGAAAGCCATATGAATGTATGATCTTGGCTTCGGAACGTTACTTGATATGCCGTTGTTTACTTGGATTTTTCTCTCGAATATATCAGTCTAATATTTTAACTTGGTTATTCAATTTGTTAAAGATTATTAATTTTATTGTTTAAGTTTATTGTTACCTATAAATCAAGGAAAAAAACTTTCTAGGATTCCAAATTGTTTTAATTGCTCAAAACACTTGAATCATATGGTTTAATAACACCACCACCAACGACAACATTAACAACAACAACAAGAATAATAATAATAATGATAACAACAGCAATAATAATAATGATAATAACAGCAACAATAATGATAACAACATTAATAATAATAATGATAATAACAGCAACGATAATGATAACAACAGCAATAATAATAATGATCATAACAGCAACAATAATGATAACAACAGCAACAACTATAATAATAAGGATAACAACAACAACGATATAACGACAACAAAGACAACAGCAGCAACAACAATAATCATATCAAAAACAGCTATAATAATAACAAAAACAGCTATAATAATAATAACAAAAACAGCTATAATAATAATAATAATAATAACAAAAACAACAACAACAACAATAATAATAATAACAAAAACAATAATAATAATAATAATATAAAAATAATAAATCAGTCATGAAATAAACCTTTTAAAAATTGAAAAATGGTGGTCGAAATTTCCATTCTATTGTAGGTTCTACGAAATACGAAATAAACTTCAATCTATCATGTTGCAAGCATGTTACAAACATCTTGCTCAGCATTTCAGCAGCAAACATCAACATTTTAGATGCAATATTTTTTTAAACCTTTGCCAAATAGGCTAAAAGTCTATTTTTTAAACTCAAAAATTGTTTTTTCGATAGCTCCCATTGAAATGTAAATTTTATTTCAAACGCACTTGTCTTTGCCATCGCTGTGCTTACATCCTTCCCTCCCATAGTTTTCCCAACAATTACACAGTCTAAAGAACCTCACTTCTCGAGTGAGCGAATAATGTATCAAAGAATCACCTGCCTTTGAAATATAATTTACATTTGACGTCTTTGGCAATGTAAAAAGGGAGAAGTTTCATTCAATGAATAGACAAAAATGAACGAAAGATTTCATGCAGATCTTTCGTATCCAATGTGTGATTGTAATAGGAAAACAAAATGATATTGTTGCATTCTGTAAGATACTGAAAACATCTTTTAATAAACTTCGAAAAGATGGAAATTTTTGCAGGCTTTATTGCTTATGAAAGATGAAATACAAGAAGATGACCCAAAAATGAATCTGTCGTATAATTCTATCGAATGTAAAATTTCAATTTAGTAGGAAATCATTGGGCATTTGTCGTATATTTTAAAAGAATGAGTGATTTTTTTCAAAAATTCATACAGCGAGAGAACCAGAAAGGGAAAGAAAGAGAGAGATAAATTAAAAGTAAAAAAAAAAAAACCTTTTTTTAAAAACAAGCTTTTTTTTTTATTTAAATGCTCTAAAAATAATAAAATTTACTTTTCTTTTAAAACTTTTTTGCTATCAACTTATAAAGTCGTTCCACAATTTATGATACAAAAGTTTGTCAAAGCTTGTCGCGAGATTTAATTACTCGTATTTACTTAGTTTGAAAATTTTAAAAATTAAAATCTATCAGATCAAGTTATTTCATTTGCTTGTTTATCTACACAGGTAAATCTCGTGACAAGTTTTTATATTATAAATCGTGTAAAGACTTTATAAGTTGATAGCAAAAAAATTTTAAAAGAATAGTTTATTTTATTCTTTTTAGAGCATTTAAATAAAAGCTTGTTTTTAAAAAAATATTTTTTGTTACTTTTAATTTACTTTTACTTTATAGTTATCGCTGGACAGAGGTTTCTCAGTCTGTTAATATCATCCAACACATCATTGTTTCAAGGTTGTTTGCCAGTTAATTTTGAGCAGTACAGCTAAGGGGTACTCTTCATTTTCCCCCGCCAGGCCACATATATATGATAGATATTTCAATCGGACCGCAAAAAGAGGATAATGGGAAGAGGGGAATGAAACTGTTAGACTAAAACAACATTGGACAAAGCAAAATTAATTAAAATATCAAAACTCTTTTTTTGCTTTTATTATAATACTATATTAAAAACAAAAAAAACACAATTTTTTTCTAAATCCGTAATTTGAAACGAAATTTTTCAATTTTTGGGCCAAATTTGGATAACACTATTCTACAAACGAAAAAATATTTTCGTGTGATTATATTTAAGAATGACAAAGTTTTTAAATGTTTTATTAAAAATATAAGTATTTTTTGAAAAATAGAAAAAAAAAATTTAGGAATTTTAATTTTTAAATGACTGATTCTAAAGGAGAAAATCCTGAACTTTCTTAGTGCAGAATATCGATTCAATAGCATGAAAAAAAGAAAAAAAAATCATACGGAACGATTTAGAAATCCTTTTCATGAGAACGCACCGATATTGACTCATTTTAGAAAAAAATTGTAAAAAATAGAAAATGTCATTAATTTTAAAAAGAATTATACCATATCATGGTGTAATAAATGATATTTCTGATTAGGTTTATCTTTGTCTCAGTTTGATCGAAAGAATAAGATTGTTTTTAAAAAAAAGGTTGCAAAAAATATCAGAACTTCTTTAAGAAATCCGAATCCGTTCGGAACCGTGATTTTGCAAAAGCAAATAAATGGATAATAATTATGATAATTAGTGGCACTTAGATTAGAAAATGTATATAAAATTGCTTAAAGAATAATATTCCAATAAAAAATTAGTCAAGTACAATATTTTGACAAAAATGAAGATAGAATGATCCATTTTCAAAATATTCTCATTTTGTGAAAAATGCTTATATTATAATAATATTTTGGTGTATATAGCTCAGACCTCTGTACAAAAGACTGAACTAGAATTTTTGATATATATAACCAAGAAGTGGGTTTATCCATGTTTCACGACAACAGAGGGGAGAAATTTTAAGAAAAAAACGCCGATACTTATATTTCAATTGGTTGTACCGCTGAAAATAATGTGAAGTTTTCAAAAATAGTAGTTGAGCCTCTGTACAGAGGTCTGAGCTATATACAGCCAAAATATTGTTAGAATAGAAGCAATGTTCACAAAGGGAGAACATTTTGAAAAAAGGTTATTCTAAGTTAATTTTTTGGCCAAAATATTGTATTTAAATAATTTTTTTTGTCAAAATGTCATTAAAAAATTTTATACATGTATTCTTATCTAAGTTACACTAAATATCGAAAAAATTATCCATTTATGCGCTTTTTTAAAATCGCTGTTCCGAACGTAGTCGTTTACCTTAAGCTCAATCCAATAAGCTGCTCGGCAGGATAAAAATCCAACAGGAATTAAAGGTTTTCAATTAACATAATTTTAACTAATTGCGATATCGGAATATAAACCCTGAAAACATGTATTGTCATCCAAACTAAACGTGTGTATAAAATTTCAGCTCAATCGGTTAAAGATATCAGCTTTAAAATTAAGTGGCAAGATTCCACCCGAAAAAATTAGTTTAATTAATATCTTTGTAACTAATTGTGATATCAGAAAATGAATAGTCAAATCCTGCATTGTCATCTAAATTTAACTTGTGTACAAAATTTCAACTCAATCGGTTGAAGACATTAGCTTCAAAATTAAGTTGGCAGATTCCATCCGAACATTTTACATTGCAAGTTAAATGAATGCTTGTGTGTAAAATATAATATATTTTGTACGTATATTGAGAGGAAGTATTGTAAAATATCTCTTTGTACAAATCAAACGAATTTCAAAAATATTTTGCATGAAAAAATAATAATTGTAGGCTCGCCTGCTAAGCGAGCACTCTACCATCTGAGCTACGCTTCCGGTTGACACCTGTGTTACTTTAATTATGCTCGCCTGAACACCTGAATGAGATCGTTACAGTAACTAGGTTAATTAAAAGTGTTACGTGAGAAACTAGATTCGAGTAAATAGATATTGTAGAATGTTTTAAAGTAAATAGAATAGCTTGATAGATCTGCATTTGTTTTAGTGTTACCTCTAGAACAGTAAAAATATAACATACTTTGTACGTATGCCTGAGTAGAAGTATTGTAAAATATCCCATTGTTCAAATCAAACGAATTTCAGAAATATTTTACATGAAAAAATGATAATTGGAGGCGCGGGATATCGATCCCGGTACCTCTCACCTGCCAAGCGAATGCTCTACTATCTGAGCTACGCCCCCGGTCCACACCTTTGTTATCGTAAACATGCTCGCCTTAACACCTGAACAAGATTGTTACAGTAATTAGGTCGATATCGGAATATAAATCGTCAAAACATGCATTGTCATCCAAACTAAACGTGTATACAAAATTTCAGCTCAATCGGTTGAAGACGTCAGCTTCAAAATTGAGTTGCAAGATTCCACCCGAACATTTTACATTGCAAGTTAAAAAAAAACTTGTAAAAAAATATATGCATTACTACACATAGCCTAATTTTGAAACAAAAATATATGACTTGAAAAATTCCCATAAAACAAAGAAAGGTACTAATACAATATTGAATCGCATTGTACGCCACATAGTTTCTTAATATTATTATAATATATATAATAATGTTTCCCTTGAACAAAATTATTGTCTTTATAAGTGAACACTAATAAAGCATTTTAAAATCTGAATATAATGCTTTCAATGCGATGCTTAAACCTTTATTACAGTTGTAATGCTTAAATACAGTGAAAAAGAATGAAATGAACAATTTTGGTCTTATAGCAAAACGGTGGATGATGAATTTTCTACACTGAAAACAAAAACATTTATATACTATTGCCATTTTCAATATCCTACCTTTGTGAAACCGGATTTTCTGCTGTGGCTGTTTTGAAGACAAAATATAAAGATCTCAGCTAAATATAGAAAAAGAACTCAGAATGTCAATTTCTAATATTAAGCCTTCCTTTCAAAAACTTTGCTCTGCAAGACAAGCCCATGGAAGTCACTAATAATTATTCAACTTTTTCTTATACCGGCTGAAGTACCCACTCTTCACACGAGTTTATTTTTTTTAAAAAAATATAATGCATTTTCAGGATATAATAGCTTAATTGTAAGGAGAGTAAAACCAAGTGCACGACAATGTATACAAAAATGTAAAATTGTAACAAATGGTAATTCTTTATTTCTCTGGTGCTTTATATTAATGCTTTATATTAATGCTTTTATTAATGCTTTATATTAATGCTTTATATTAATGCTTTATATTAATGCTTTTATTAATGCTTTATATTAATGCTTTATATTAATGCTTTTATTAATGCTTTATATTAATGCTTTATATTAATGCTGTTATTAATGCTTTATATTAATGCTCGCGCGCGAGCTTTTATTTATAAAAAATAACTGTAATTTTAATTATGGAAAGTTCTGGAACTTTCGATGGCAATAGATAAGGAGATGGAATACTGAGTTTGAAAAAAAAAAAAGTCTTGACTTGTAAAGGGTGTTTTTTTTAGAGGTATAGAACTTTAAATTGCAATAAAACAACGGTGTTTTATTCGATTGACATGAATTTTTTTTATTCGAAAGATAATCTTGTGGCATTACATTTTAAATATGATTCCTGGCATATGACTGCCACGGCTGGCTCGGATATAGTCCAATCTGGACGTCCAAATTTCGATGACCTTTTCCAACATTTGTGGCCGTATATCGGCAATAACACGGCGAATGTTGTCTTCCAAATGGTCAAGCATTTGTGGCTTATACGCATAGACCAATGACTTTACCCACAGAAAATAGTCTAGCGGTGTTAAATCACAAGATCTTGGAGGCCAATTCACAGGTCCAAAACGTGAAATTAGGCGGTCACCAAACGTGTCTTTCAATAAATCGATTGTGGCACGAGCTGTGTGACATGTTGCGCCGTCTTGTTGGAACCACAGCTCCTGTATATCATGATTGTTCAATTCAGGAATGAAAAAGTTAGTAATCATTGCTCTATATCGATCACCATTGACTGTAACGTTGTGGCCATCATCTTTTTTTAAAGAAGGATTTTACCAGCCCATAAAACGCACCAAACAGTCAGTTTTTCTGGATGTAACGGTGTTTCGACATACACTTGTGGATTAGCTTCACTCCAAATGCGGCAGTTTTGTTTGTTTACGTAGCCATTCAACCAGAAGTGCGCTTCATCGCTAAACAAAATTCACTTATGAAAATCGGGAACAACGGCAATCTCGTTTTGGGCCCATTCGACGAATCTACGACTTGCTTGATGATCGTTTTGATGAATTGCCAAACCAAACTGAGAATAAATCACTTGACAGCTGTTAAATCGGTCGCCATCTTGGAAAGTAATGCCAACATAAACTTCTATATCTGGAAAAAAAAACACTCTTTATGTGTCAAGAGTTGTTGACATTTTTTTATTTTCCTGTTAAAACTGGCGCCCAAACCCGTGGCCTAAGAACTTCGACCCCGTAGATGCAGAAACCTCCGCTGTGACGAAACGCCGCAGAAAAATGAAAATTTAACCGGCTCTGTAAACATTACACTCCCGGAAAAAATTACTGGTATTGCGCCGAAATCCTTCTAAAGCAAGAGAAAATCCCTGGAAATCGAGAGAGAAAGTGAATCATCCTGACTTCAATTGTCTGAAGAAAAGAAAAAAAGAACATCGATTTCCTGTTAAAAGTTTTTGCAATAGTGTTTTGTACATTTTTCATATACAAGTCATAGCAATCCTGCTACAGTGTGTTAGTGCTAGGGATAATTTTATTATTTTATTTCATTGATTTTTTGGTATTCTTATGCAATGATAGTTCTTAATTTTGCTGTATATTAATTTATTTCTTGTGAGATAACGTTTCCTGATTAATATTTTGTGAATTACACATTAATAATTACTATTTTGCTTGATATTTTACTGATTTCCTATTGAATTTAGGTAGCATTACATGCCTGATTATTTTAGTTTTGTTTAGTATTTTCATTGCATTGAATTTTTGTATCACTACAGCTGATGATTCCTAAATTTTCTTTATATTATTTTATTATTTGAATTAATGTTCCTTGTTGGTATTTTGAATATGTTATTAATTTATTTACCTATTTTAATTGTATTTTGAAGTGCATAATAATTTATAAGATTTTAAAGCTAGCCATATTTTAAAGTGTATTCCCATATCTGTAAGAGATTTTTTGGAAAATAAGGCCTGGACCTTAGTTATTTATTTTATTTATTTGCAACTCTTAAATTTCTCTGTCATGTCATTTCTGGGAAAAGGGAAAAAAGCTGATCACATTAAGCTTGCTATTGAGTTAGTTGAATGTGAGTCGAATGGGGAAGAGCTAAAAAAATTGAATTAAGGACAAAGATTTTAACAAATGTTGCTTATAATGAAGACCCTGAATTTGTGAAATGTATCTTTGAGGGAATCGTATCAAATAGGATAGACGAGGAAAACAAACAAACAGAGCATACACTGCGTGAATTTGAGCTGCAGAAAATACGACTGCAAAATGAGACTCAAAGAGTCGTAGGTCCACAAACCCTACCCCAAACAAAAGTTGAATTAAAAAAATTGCTATCAACATTCAATCCTGAAGTTGATAACATGGACCTGTTCCTCACCTTATTCGAACGGCAAATGAAGCTATTAGATCTTGGTGAAGATCTGTGGGTACCCTATCTCATTTGTGCCCTACCTAGTGATGTAACCTCCCTCACTGCCCATGAGCCTGAGAAGAAATGCAGGGATTACTCCCACATTCGAGGAATGCTTCTGCAACGGTTCAAATTAACCGCAGAAAAATTCCGGGACATGTTTTCACGTCACAGAAGAAGACCAAACGGGACGAGGAAGGATTATTATTTCGAAATCCGAGCATATTTTGAAGGTTGGCTCAATGAGCTAAAAATTGATTCCTTTGACGGATTGAAGAATTTGATGATTGCCGATCAAATGAAAAAGAAATGCTCTCCAGAGTGTAAGAAACATTACCTGATATCTGGGAAGAACTTATCTCCCCAGAAATGTTAGCAGATAAGCTGGAAGCTTTTGACAACATCCGACTTTCCTTACCCAGTGGACCTAGGAGACACGTGAAGACAAGTGAAACCGTACATGATGGAAGACAGGTATCATTCAGGAAACCTGAACGCCCTCCCGAAAGAGAATATTCCCATCAGGTATCAAATGAGAGATCCCCTCTCAGATGCTATGACTGTGGGAAACAAGGAGTTATAAAATCTAGGTGCCCCATCTGCAACCTCAACGCCTCACAAAGAACAGACGTAGCAACCAATCACACAAATGCTTACACAGCTCAGACCAGAAGCCCTCGATTGACCCTAATCGACATAACTTTCTTTGGAATAAAGGGAAGTGTATGTGCAGACACATGATCATCATATTCAATTGCTGGAAAAAGGATGTTCCAGATATTTAAGGATAAGGGACTCCTTTTCCAGGAAACCACGTTAGCAATGAGCTTAGCAGATAGTCAACAGACCTCAGGTAATGGTAGAAATTGAGGGGAGATCAGTCTTGACCAAATTCATAATTCTCCCAAAGGCTAAGGGAAATAGAACACTTCTAGGAACAGATTTCCTTAGTTCTGCTAGTTTGGTTCTAGATGTGAAGAATACTTGTTGGTACTTCTGGGACAATCCTACCCTCAAGTATCTATTTGGTGAAGAATTGGACATCCCGTCCATAGTTGAGAAGATGTCCTGCAACACCTGCAAATTAAGAGAAGGGGAAGGTGAAAGTTTGACCTCTGTGTGTGTGTGCCCAGAAAGAGAAACTTACCTTCCTGTTGGAATCATTCCAAAATGTCTTCGAACCAGGGAGAGAAGTAACAAATATCTTGGAGCACCACATTATAACAACCTCTCCCTTCAAAACTTAGTTTTATTCTGAAATTAAAAAAATAGGCATTATTCTGATCATAGGAATTAATTAGAAGCGAGCCCCTTGCGTAGCAAAAACAAACAGAGTTTTTCACAAACAAAAGATAGATATATGCTGACATGGGCTTTTTTGCAGCGTAAGCCAGATTTGCTTGCAGATGCCAGAATTTTTTCATACTTACTTGACAAATATCGTTATATTTTGGACACTTTTTACAAACTTCTATAAATTATAGCCTATGTTATAAATTATAGACTATGTGTTATTATGATGTATAAGCTATATTACCGTAAAGTTTCATTAAAATCCCTTCAGTTGTT